ATATATAATTTCATGTTCGTATTTTTTTGTTGCATATTTAAGAGTAGAACTGAGAGCTGCGTCCATCCTCCTACGCATATCGATCACTGCAACATCAGATGAAGAAACACGTAGTCGATTCTGATGCTTATTGGGTTCGTACTATTTTCAGACGTCAACCGGCCGCACGGATGGTTCTCAATCGTACAGATAGATTCGTTTATATAAAGCCATTCCGTACTGACTCTTTTACTTCATTTGTGTATGTTCTGATCCGAATCGAAGGACTAATACGGATCTCAGCTTGGCATTAGAAGGCTTCACAGAATGTCCAGACGCCACTCTCCTGCTTGTGCTGGAGCAGGAGAAGGACAAGATCATGCAGTTGATGGATCATGCTTGCTTCGCCACGCCTTCAAATAAGGTATGTCTATGCATGTACGCATTCGTATAGTTATAACCTGGTACTTGTTGTTCAAGGGTTCTCATCAGTTCTCCCTGGGAATGCGGGTAGACTTATATGTAGAGATAAGACGAGTATGAGAGCCTGCGTGTGCTTGGCCTGTGTTTCTTTACATTTGGCCTGCCCAGTTTGTACAGCTTCCTAACACTTGGCTTTCAGGCCAGCGGTTTCTAAACCCTGAAGACTCAAAGACTCATTATATATATATATATATAATGTAGCTTAATCTTTACTGATATGAATTGCCGCACATACGCAGGGCAAATCCGCAGCCGCCTCTCTGATATCTAGTCAGCTGAGCGCGAAGGATAGCATCGATAGGGTCAGCGAGTTTGTCGATAATATCAGCGGCTGTTTAAATTTGGACCAATCAGAAAGCTTCAGAATGCTTCAGAAATTTCAGAGCACAAAGCCTGTACGCACCGAGCTGGCGGATCTAGTGTTCACCAATCATGAGCTTGTTGAGGTGTGTGTGCGAGCCTCAACGAAATACGTCCAAGGATGTACTCTGATACGAAGAACCCATGTGTGTGTTGTGACACTTGTGCAGAAAGGTCAGGTTGTCGAGTATTGTTTGCGTTTTGGTTTTATTTATAGATATGTAGGTGTATGAGCATTATATGTTGTTATATCCACCTGTCTGACACACAGTTTTTGTTTTTGCGATTTCTCTACAAATTTCATACTATATTCCGTTTTACTTTTCAAATTCAATCGATTCCAGTCACTCCATATAAATTGGCATCGCTATATCACTATCCAACATTCTGAGGACACTCTTTTCACCCGCAATTCATGGAAATGGCGCTTTTACAATTCAGTTCACAATTTCGACCTTGCACATTCCATTTTAATTTATTCATTAAACTATAGCCCTCGAAATGTTAAAACTCTAAAACGCTAAAGCCTGAATAAATATAACCTAAATCTTCCACTATTTGCATGACTGGTCTTTCCCACAGATCATCGCATTCTATCGCACCGAGAGACGTGATCTGCTCAAGTGTGCCATTACAGTCTTGTGCGCCGGTGCCGAGACTGATCACCCCTGCCGCCCCGTATTCGAGGTACGTACGATA